TTGATTGGGGGACAATGCACAGGGTAATCAGGACAAGAGGCACACCTTTAATACAAAAAAAAAAACATTTAGCCCAAGTCAATGCACACAAGTTTGGTGGAGTCCAGTCGATATCAAAGCAAGGTAATGAAAATGCCTCTTCAATAAATTTGTCCGCGTCCTCATTGAAGAGATTAAGCATAAAAGTGCAGAAACGCGTACACAAATTACGGTGCAGTTTCGCAACAATGAGCGTCGAAGTCAGCAATGCAAATTATCTACTAGACAACAAATATAGTACTTTTACAGATGAATCATATTAAAATGCTGCTAAATAAGGAGGCGGACAAACGGTTGGTGAAGCGAACTAAGATGAATCGCGTTGTTGCCTATTTCACCGTTTGCTAGGAATATATGCTTTGGAAAGTAGTGTCAATTTGCTATTATTCCTCACAAAAGCCACAAACGATCACTTGTCAACCACGCATTATAATTTGAAAGAAATTAGCTATTACGAACTTTAAAAAGCCCTCCCAAACTACTAAGTAATACCAGAAACAATACTAAAAAATGCAACTCGATCGTGCAAAATGATATCGCCTGAGCATTTATAGCATTATGATCAGTTTGCTACCGAGATAACAACACAACACTTTTCAACTAAGTTAAGCACCCCAGGTAAGCCATTTCCGGCAGCATAAACTGCGCATTTTTTTTCACCGCTCTGGAAACTCATCCAAGCGCGGAGAGCATTCAGCTGAAAACTCCAGTGGGTACGGAATGTGTAGAGGAGAAAAGCTTTTATCTCTGGTTAGCTCTAATAGACTTTTAAAAAGTGCCATTAACTCCAACCGAGAACTTTCGCAATGTTTAAAGATGAGAATGTAGGTTCAGTGGCTGTTCTTGAGGATTGTTTCAAAGTTCGGGAGTGTTGGCACCACCTACTGACTTATAGTATTTAAATGTCACATGAGGGAAGAAAATTGACTCTCCGCAGTTAGTACAGCTTATTCCCAATGTACAAACGATAGCAACTAAGAATAGGCCAACAGGAAAGTGATTCGGTTGTAGCTTTCCTTAGCCATTAAAATATGTTAAAGAAAACCGATTAGTCAACGTCTCGGCCAAGAGTATACGGCCGGAAGGGCTATGAATACCTTAGGTTTGCCTAACTGCCGCAATCCCAATCTTCCAATTCTTATGTCAAAGGACTCTGGTGAAACATATTGGCCTCTCCTGTGTTAAAAATAAAAGTCGAGAAATCACTACTCAATACTTCCACCGGGAACACTTACTATCATCACCACTTTCTTTGATGAGAAACCTTGGAATTGCATTTTAAGACCAATTTATTCTTGCCCGATGAAAAGGATTTATTTTTACTTGCCCATTTCGAAAATGGGTTTTTGCCGTCCAAATTCAACATCTTACCACTGCCTTTAGACAAAAATCTAACTTGGCTAAAGATTAAACAAAGGTCCAACGCTCCAAGTCCCTTACCGATATTGCTAACTTAAGTTTTACTAGCTGTATCAAAGTTGCATAAATATTGAACAGTTCTAACACTTCTAAAAGCTGTTCTCAAAACGGCAACAAAACGCTGTACGGAGGCCAACGCCAAAACGCACTCACGCATTAGCCATCACTAACGCGAGGATTTAACTTGCGTGAGCAATGGTAAAACGGTTCCACTTCATCTACCTACTCCCTTAGATTCCCTCTTCGTTGCTCGCGTTTTTCTTCCTTCAGAAATTACATCGTGCGTGCGTGGGTGCGTGCGTGCTCCCCCAGGCGCATACGAAGATAGGAGGCGAGGGAGAGAGGAAATAGTAAACAAAATTTGCCCCTCCTCCACCTCTTCTTTCCGGTCTAATCTCAACTTCCCCCATTCACTCTCCCTCCTTGTATTAGATTAAGCGACTAATCGATTTCGCTAGGGAAGCCGAGTTCCAAAGCCGTCAAGGCAGTTTTTCTATGGTTAGGTACGGATGAAAGCGTGACACCGGAAGAGGATATTCGTTTACTTGTGAATAATCTTTTTTGCCTAATAGTAAACAAAAGGAGTCATGAACACACAAATGTCAATAGAAGTCATTTGCGGTAGTGCACCTATAGGAAGCCATGAGGCTAAAAAGGAGCTAAACGACACCTTGCTGGAATTCTTAAAAATGCTCAAATTCTATTTGTAACGTCCTCCAAAGGATCATTGCCTACACTGAATACGACTGCAGAAATAACCACTCAGGCTTGCAGTCAAAAACGTTGTAGCCTACCACAAAGCAGGATGGAAATTGTAATTATTTAAAGACAAACCGAAAAAAAATTACATTACATCTGCCCCAACTCAATATTCGTTGGTGCAATTGTTCGTTTGACGTGCCTAAAAACAACCGCTTTGCTCCAATTGACAAATCATTTTCCCATAAAACTAAGTCAAAAGCAGACGCTATGGAAAAAAGTAATTACCCTTCTTACCACAGAACCAGGATTCCTGGCTGTTTATTCGACCGCGATGCAAGCGTTTGCCTATAGGGCGCAAACACTTAACAACGGAATGAGCCAAATCGATAAGCTGGAAAAGAAAGCAGGTAAATGGGAAATTTAACACACATTTTAAGATGCTCCTGTTCAGTTGTGAGAAGATTAGGAGAGATAGTTACAAATGCATAAGATAAACAATAGACTGAGTTTTGATGAGGAAGCTCGTCAAAAGAGTCTTCACTAGCCTAGATTGATTATTCTTGGAGTGAAATATAAAGACTTGTACGAAAATACCTACCTGGTTTGAGGTCCTGGGTAGAAACTCTAATTTCATCGCAAACTCGTATGCATTCAAGTGTAAAAACATTTTATTAAATGTTTGAACTTATCAAATGTATCAATAATTACTTGGAAGAGACTAAAGCTCATTACTTTATTTAACTTAAACGTGGTAATAATTGCTATTTTCATTGCATTCTGGAATAGTATACCTCTAAAAATGAGTGGATAGTGGTTCAGTCCAACAGTTAAATTAAAGTTGCCATAGCGACAATGGAAGAACAAGAGGTTCAAACAAGAATAGAGCAACAATGAAGTTCAGCGCTGTGAAACTTCTAGTTGTGGATGACATCAATTTTCCCGGTATGCGCTAAACCCATCCATGATGGAATAAGTGCAAATAAGTGATAAGGTATGCAGAGGATTAGGGTGAATAAATCGTAATTTAAGCGATACGGTCTCGCATGGCGACATAAAAGATGAAGGTAAACGAGGCGAAGATCAGAGCTTAAGGAGAAGCAGGCATTACGATGTTCACGTTTATGAGATGCAGTCATACACTTCAGGATAAAAAAGTCCATCTACTGCCTTCCAGAGCGATGAATAAATTAAACTTTTTTGTGAAAACAATGCGATTTTTTGATCTGAAAGCGATTTTAGAAAGAAGGGAATGGGAAATGGTATTAATGGTGATGAGACAACAGCAAGAAATGCTTGACTGACTGCATCTTTATGATAGATGCCGTCTATGACCAAAGCCTTGAGTTCAGGACACCACGAAAACTGGCATACATGCAGGTATGCCAAATGAGTGATAATGTAAACACAACAATGCTGCCAGTTTTACCTACACGCAAAATCTCAAACGTCACCCTCATAAAATGTCTTATCGTTAAAGATAGTGTGGTGCACCGTAAAAACCCACTGCAGTGAGCCTCGGTGAAGTAAACAGCAGCGCTGAAGTACAGGAGCACAGACGGGTAATTAGTGCGAAACTCATCATACGAAAAAAAAAAACCAGCATCCTGTCTGTGGGAACCAATCGATGTGCCCATGGGGGCAAAAACGGATGAAAGTAGTGTCTAATCCAGGAGGGATGGCGCAATCGGATCAAGCAAACCATTCACTTGGGGATGTCAGTTTTTCTACGGGGCCCAATCACTAGTGCCAAGTACAATTAACACCAGCCAAAAGTTAGTGGCGCTTCGGAGGAAAAGTCACTGGAATCTTTTTAACTACCTTGGGAATAGCAAATGAAGACTGGTAAGCTCGACAATAGAACTAACTTACGAGCGAATCACAATGGTCGAGAAATCAAACAACTTAAGGTATGAAAAGTTTATTGCATTCGAAAAATGTTTGACAGCCTGCTAGTGTACGAAACAGCTTTAGTAACATTGACAACCTTAAAAGAAGTATTAATGTACTGTAACAGCGATTATGCGGTAGTGAACGGCAATCCCGATAGGTGCTAACATTTAAAACTAGAGTTGAAGTGCTTCATCCAGAAGTGCTAACACAAATGGATACATTGGTTTCGAATGCATTTCATACGAGTGAAAATGCAGGAAATTCAAGGCCTTCCATTGCCGTATTCTAATGGGCATCTAAGAGACTTGCGGGATGGAAGCCTTAATCAGCTTCGGGGACAAATATCCATAAGCAATCACTCGATGCTTCTAAAAAATTGCCCTACTATAATAGCCAAAATCCATTTTGCATTGCTTGAAAATTTGAACCTGTTCCCCATTACTCACAGTTCACCAGTGTTATCCAAAAACCTATTCACAGTATTGCTTTCTTCTAGTTTGGAATTATTCCTGTGCTTACATAACAAAAATTACATTAAGATCAACACATTCATCTTGCATCCTTTAATGAATCTTTAAAGTGAAATGTACCGCACAAGGGAAGAACAAAATAAGGGCACTTAAAAAATGTTCCCAACTAACATTCCATACTTTATGCTATCTCAACAAAAAAAACGTCTTGGAAGTAAGTAGGAGAGACTTACTTTGATTAGGTCTGCTAGTAACAACTGGTTGCTGCACGTAGCGCATACCACTGGGCCAGTACTGCTCTTGTGAATATACCGTTCCCACAGTGGGCATGTAGGGAGCACCAACAAACATTGCATCCTCGGTCTTCTGTAGGTCACTTTGAGCATAGTGGCACTCTGATGGAGTGTATGAGTGCTGGACCGGCGGTGGTGGAGGGGGCGGAGGTGAGTCCGGTGGCACCGGCGGAGGTGGGTAGTGTGGCGGTGGAGGAATAACCTCTGGAAAGGTTCCAACACCACCGCCACTGCCACAACCACGGCGGAGTTGTTCGATGAGGGAGGTGCTGGCGTATGGTGAGACAGAGTTCGGATCGTCTGCGTGAATTGTCACTTCGTCTCCTATCGCACCCAACGACGCGCCTGTAGGAACCCCAACGGTAAGGTTCTCATCCACTGTTTCCATGCCACTGCCCTCCAGCACTGCTGCCACAGGACTCTTATGCAATGAGGAGTTCTGACTGCTAGAACTAGTAGTCCCACCCGTAGCAAGGAATATACTTCCTGTGGAAGTGAGTTTTATGCCCTCTGGGACAACCTGACCACCTGGAGAAGAGGAATTGAAAGTTATAAAACCAAGTGAGCTCCTCCCGTCAAGTCATTAGAAGTTTAGACCAGAAAAAAAATACAAAATATCCGACTCGTCGAAGCAGCGAACAGCCTCAAGTAGCACAAAAATATGGGGGTAAATTTGTGGGTGGCCAATGTTCGCACCCTATCGTCATCCTGCGCTTTGTTTGTCAACACCTATTTTTAAACGTAATCGGTGTTGCTTTTTGGCGTCAGTGTAAGTTTTTGCCGCTTTCGGTTGTCGCTTTAAAAAAAATGATCCATAGGAAATCATAAACCACCACAACAAATATCAGAAAGGCATTCAACAACAGTCTCCGAGTTCTAACAAGGAGTATGGTGGAGCTATTATCTTATCGTTTACGCGAGATTAAAAATGTTAAGGTGGATAAGCATTCTGAAGTCGATGTCTTGACAATTCTTTTTACATGAGTTGATGTTATTGATCGTCGCAAGGGATACATACAGTATGTTAGTGACGCACTGGCGACAGATTTTGAAGACCTCAGAAGTTTCGCTTCATTTTAAGTCGATAAAACGATGTTCGGTGCTGTAAAAAAATACGAAAATTACATAAATCCAC